ATCATTAGATCTGGAATAAAAAAAGCTTCAGATTTGAATGTACCGTTTTACTTACCATTCGTGAATTTAAGGATGCTCTGCCGGTATTTTGTTATTTTTCCTATTTTTCTGAGATTTATTGAAAACTATCGATCGGATTGGGATATGAAAATATAGCGTTTGTCCGTTACATCATGGTTTATCCTTTCACAAAGTTTCATCCCGATACACCAATTTTTCTAACTTTTCACTAAAATTTATTGCTTTTTTATTAAATTTTAGTGAAAAGTTACAAAAATTAGTGTATCGGGATGAAACTTCATGAAAGAGTCAATCATGATGATTATAGGAGTATTTTTTTAGCTTGCTTGTCAGCAAGTTGATTCCGAAAACTTGAACGTGTTACGATCATTAACTTGACCGGGTGCTCTGGGTTTTCGTTTTTTTTTCGGTTTTCGAGAGGTTCAAGGCTTGCAATAGCCCACGCCGATTCGAATTTCACAGCCTCTAGGAGATAACAATTTTCTCCTTATATTTTAAGGTTTCTGTTGTTTTTTTATTCTTCTCGTTTTTGTTTTCTCAATATCTTTTTTAATAACTAAGAAATCGCCCACTCAAACCATGATTTTGTAAATAAAAATTTTATACAATGAAGTTCATGTTAACGATTATGTATTCAGCAATTAAAAAAAAAGTTTTCACCGGTCCATGTTGGCTCACTCTCCCCTATAGATATAAAAATGAATAATTCATAAATGCTATGGATATGATATGTGATAGTCTTGCTTAGTGCGTATTTTTCTGTCGAATTTCAGATGAATACATCCGAAATAATCAAATTGCACAATTGGATTTAAACTATAGGTAATAATCTCAGAAATTTTCTAAAAATTTTCAGTATTCGCAATTTTCAGTTGCTTCAAGTTTACCAGACGCACCTCGGATCGCTAGCTGACCCTTCCTTTGAGTAGCCAGTTAGATTGACCTCACGTGAAGTTCATTCAATGTCGGGATAGGGACGGATAGTTCAGGAGTAACTCACGTAATACAACGGAATAAAGTTATAATGTGCCTATTAAATGTCTTTCTCTTTCGAGCTTTTACGCGACCCGTTCCACCATCCCACCCCCCGTACCATATTCGCCATGCTCCAAGGAAAAACGTCAATGAAAGGTACAGACAGGAATCGAACCTTAATCACCCGACCATTGCCGTCGGTATCTATTAAATATGTGTTCTACCGTGCGGGTTCAGTACAGCACGGTTATATGTTTGGTTTTATATGTTAAACGCAAATCTAAAGGTCGAACTGACAGTCCACGTTCGACTCTGTTCAGAATCTGCCGTCTTCTTGGGGTTCCAAGCATTTTTTCCAAGTATTAATTCCAGGAGAACTTAGGACTTGAAAAATTTTCAACTTTGAAGTTATTCTGTAATTTGAAACTGACACAATATTAAACTTTCGGCTTTGAAACCATACTTTCATATTTTAGGTATTTAAAATACATATATTT